TTCGAAACCTGTAACTATGTTCCACATCTGGAGTTTACAATTGGATTCGCACCCTCTTACATGTTTCCCTGCGAAGGGATCCTTGCAATGTTACTGAAACCCATTGCACATCTGAAGCGTTTACAGAGGACTTTGATCTTCCATATTACTAGATCCTCGAAGTATTCGTCCGAAGTATTCGTCCTTAAGTTTTGGGGAAGTCAAGTGTCATCTCAATGATGCTTTAGCTAATGAAAAGTTGGATGCAATACTGACGGATACGCATGATCGCTTTCAGGCAACCGTGGATTGACTACTCCAGACCACCTACTTTTGGGTCCCAACTATTGTTCATTTAAGGATTTGGTGCTCCTACTCTTCTACCCTTTTTGGTTCTTTTCTCTTCTCTTTTTAATGACTTCCTTTTCTTCTCCCTTTTTCTTTCTTTCCATGTTTTCACCTTTCCCGCCCCTTTGTTCTTTGGTCACACTCTTTGTTATCCCTCATTAGCCCCGTTGCCAGGTGCGTGCTCAGTGCACTATGGTCTTTGCTTAACTAATACATGGCCCATCTAGTTATATGCATTTTCATTTGCCCACTAGCTTTTCAAGTGACCCCATTGTTTCTTTATCATATGTTGTGGTTTCTTATAGCTACCTTCGTTTGTATTGTACTGTTCAGGACTTTTTTTATTTTACATTGAGACACTTGGTTATGCGGTGCTCTGTGACGCACTCATCTCGATTTTCTTCTTGTGTGATTTATGACTTCTTCCTATTTTCTTTGAAAATTGTATAAAAACATTGTAAAAGAAACAGGAAGTGCTCTGCTATTTCTCTGAAGTAATTTAAAGCAAAAGGTAACTTTATTCTGGGTACTTCTTAGACACAATTGCATTTCTAGATGTTCCCTAAAACATAGGTCAGTAGTAGGCAACTGTGACACTGTGTAGGCTTATGTGTGGTTAGCAGGGCTCGGTCCAGTGCACACAAAGGTAACTCACTGATGGTGAGCTTGCATATTTTTGGCCAAAGTAGTGTCTTTAGATTTTAGTGCCTTTTAACGGAGTTGTAAAGTCGCAGTGTATCCTCTCCTGTTATAACATCAGCATTGTAATAGGAATACATACTAGAGTGGTTTCTGATAATGCAATCAAAGCTTACGTTAAAAAAATCCCTTTTATATAGTGAGTGCTGCCTTCCATCAATTTCATCAACTTCCTGGATTCCCAGTGTCCTTTGCGTCTCTTTCTCTGCTGCTTGATGTGATGCAATCTCAATTTCTTAAGACAACATATCCCATCATGCATTGCTTACAGCAAGCAATGATGATACTACATTGTGAGAAGTTCATATGCTGAGCTGTAGTTCAGAAGGCAGGCTTAGTTAGAGTGGTATAGTCATAGGGCGTGAACGGAGTGACATTGTGTCAGTGCAGTGAGGAGGTCCATCCTATGGGCATCTACAATAAGTAAGTTTACAAACTTCTAGATGGATATGGTTATTAGGAGTGGGATAGAACTTGGGAAATTCTATACAGGAATACATATTTATTTTTAGCTTTTGACTATAGATACCCTTAAAGCGAGGAGAGGCCTGTAAAATGCAGACACTTATGTACAGAAAGTCTGTGATAGTTGTGACATCTCTGGTTATCTTCTGGCTTAGGTTCCTGTTACAGCTGGTGGGGATTCTCTTGGAGGACATAGTAAACAAGGAGCTAAAGGTGGACCTGACTGAACAGCAGCATACTTTCTACTGCCAGCAGCTGGGCACCCTGCTCATGTGCCTTGTCCACATCTTCAAATCAGGTAAGACAGTTTATCATGTCGCTATATTTCCACCTATCCCTTCTCTCCCCTCTGCTGTATATATTTTGGTTCATGTGTTTTGAAACCAAAAGAGGACACGTTACATAGATGATTCAGAGTAGACTGGAACTTTACCAGCCATATATTTCCAGAGCTTCAGTGCTACTATCCTGCATTGTGTGCCGCACAAAAATGTTTAAAGCTCAACTCCAAGTTGAGCTCCCTCTCCTTTCGAATGCACACCTGCCCAATGGTCATGTGATGTGTTCAATTATTTTCCTCCAGTTATTTGTACCAGCGATGTGCGGTCCTTACTGCCGCACAGAACTTCACCTATGTAGTTAGAGCATGTGAGTGCAGTTTGTTTGTAGCTGTGCTGTTGTAGCAGTAGTGTGATGATACACCCCAAGGGAACTGTGTCCATGATGGTCTGGGCTGATGGGGCTTAAGATCAGTGATGGTTGGTTTCTTTCAACCCAGAAGAGGACCAGCGCTGCACCACTGAGTGGGGTTTCTAAAGGGGAGTGTGACAGAGAGAAAAATTTATTTTTGTATTTGAAAAATCCTTTTGCTTGAGTCGGGTCTAATAAGAAGTACCAACCTCAATCAGTACTGCCTGTGACTGCACCTGCAATTCAGGCAGCACCCTCTCTACCAGGAGAGAATTGAGGGAGTGTGTCCCTCCACTGAGTCATTTAGCTGTGTGCAGTTACAGATCAGGATCTCCAATTACACACAGCTTAATGACTCAGTGGAGGGACACACACTCCCTCTATTCTGGTGTGCTGCAAATATAAACCTAATCTGAATTCCTGGTATAACAGAATCACCCCTGCTGCTTTGGGGCTGTAAGGATTATTTAATAAATCTCTGCTCTCTTTTATATTTTTTTTAATTAAAAAATAAGTAGCTGAGGTGTAGTTAAAACAATTCAAATAAAATATGGCTTTCACTGTAATACCCATTTTTGGCCAAGAACAAAAATGAATACATGGTGATACACTATACATTGACATTTAAAGGGAAGCATAATGGACTGCTATTGCTGACCTCCATCTGAAATTGCTAGATGCCTGGCCAGTCTCTGGCTTGAATGTTTTTGGATCCACTGACATGGAACAAAGATTCAACAAGTGAAGAAAGAGCAGAAGGTGAGGATGGCAATTGCACCCTCCATATTTGCAGTTTAGCTTCTGACCAGAAGATGGGGCACACGGTCTACTAAACTAGTCAACTGCAGATCTCCCTTCTATAACCATCTTTTAATATGTAGACATGATTGTGTGAGGTCTGATTTGGTTATCAATGCTTTGTCATTGCGTTCACTGGGACAGACTTTTTTTCCTAATCATTTTTCATTTAAATTATGTCCAAGAATGTCCAATTTAGTACAATAATTGGCCATCTCCTACAAGGTCGTTATATTGGACCCTGGATAACAAGTGTATTATTAACAATGTGTATCTGATATGGAGTCCTTTCCTCTGATCTAGGAGTACCTGGTATGTGATAATTGGATAATATGGACTACATGTGATAAATGACAGTTTTGTTAAAGGGTCGCACCAACCAAAACTGACTTTTAGTATTTGGTAGATACTTTAAATCTAAACAACCTGGCAGTTTCGTATGTTTCTTGCACTCTGTTGGGGATGGATGCAAGTTCCCAGGCAGGGTCGGATTTACTCTCTCTCCTGCCCCAAGGCCAGGTGCCTCAAGGCACCCCCAACCCCCCCATGGAGACTGGCAACCCTGGTGGGGGGGGCAGGGTTAGTTTTAATTGTTTTTTTTAAACTTCATTACATTTTTATTTAATACCTATTTAAAAAACAAAAATTATTTAGTTATTTAACTATTTTCATTTTTATTTTTTTTTTGCTTAACTTTATTGCTATCACATAGGAGCTAACAAGCCTCTGTGTGATAGCATTTGGAGGTGACAGGTCCTCTTTATTGAACCTGTCACCTCCAATACAGGAGTTCTAGCACAGCACTGTACTGGAACTCCTGTGACAGATGAGAGGGGAGGGCTGTAAGTGCAGCTCTCACTGATTACACAGAGCAGAGCAGAGAATGGACGTTCTTCGCTCTACTTCCTGCTCTCCATCCTGAGGCTCTCCGGCAGGCTACATACAAGTGATCTCGGCGACATTGCCGAGATCACTTGTAAACAAATGAGCATCTTTCCCACTCTTCATTTAGCCGTGCTTGCCCAAAGCAGGCAACCACCGCCCGGCGCCCGGAACTGTATGTCCTGGGCGTGAGGGGATTCCACACCCCTTCCGCCCCGAGGCCAGACCTCAGTGGCCTTGTGGCAAATCCGGCCCTGTTCCCACATCTGCACAGTTGCTGTGGCCAAGAGGGGTCCCACTCATCTTGTTGGATTTTTTATTTTATTTTATCTTCTAGAGAATGCAGCGTGGGGGCCAGGACCACACAAAGGTGAGCAGAAACACCTGGAACTCCCAAAATGGCAGGATTATGGCAGAAAGATCACTTTTCCAAGACTGCCAACAAGCCAAGGGCCATTCAGCCCATTGGGCTCCAGCTATTAATAAAATGGAATTTTGCAGTGTTTTCATGCTGCTGTTGTGTCATTTGCAGGAACATTCCGAAGGATAACAAATGCAGCTTCAAGACTGTTCAAGGGGGATGGAGACAATGGGAACTACTACTACACGTTGGAGAGCCTCAGTGACCTTGTGGAATCCATGTTTCCAACCCACCCTTCTCTAGTGCTGCTGTGGTGCCAGTTTTTGCTGCTCATAGACTACACCAACTACAACTGGTGGTCAGAAGTACATCAAACGCTCAAGTAAGTCAATGCTACTTGAAGTTTCCTGCTAATAAGAAAATACTTCTAGTATTACTTTTTATGGCTTTCAGGGTGATATTTTGCTGTCCTAAAGAGGAACTCCAGGAATTAACAGAATTAACCATGTCAGTGGGGCTACCCCTGCACTGCAAGGGTTAACTGCTTGTTTTGGTCTAGGGGTGGATTAAAGAAGAGATACTAGGTTACATTTCTAGGCTGACTTATGCTGGCCGTACACATCAAAAAAACGCTTGATTTCCTCATCCACACTAAACATCTGATACATCTGATCCTCTGTCTCACCCGACTACATCTGATACACCTGATCCTCTGTCTCACCTGACTTCTGCACCAGGCCCTGCAGCCTCTTCTCCCCTGTTCTCTGGCGTTCTAAGTCCCACTGACTTCATCACGTCAGCAGGTAAAGGGACCTGCATTAGATGTTCGGACGCAGAGGGGGAGAGAAAGGAACTAACTTCTCTATAGGGTTTTATTTGAGCAAAAAGATCACTGCATGTTTTTTTGACAAACCTTACTCTTTGCTCTTTCACAATGATCATGCCATGCATGGTGCATCAGCTCTGTGAGATATGTCTGGTTCTCCGGCTATGACTGCCAGGAAATTTACAATGGACTTGAATAAAGTAAAACGTATTTGTTATTATTGTTTTTTATTATTTTTATTATACTGTAAACCAGAAGAAATTTTATTTATGGAGAAGAGACTTCCTGCCCAGAGTGGACCCAGCTGCTGCCAGGCTAGATGGATAGTCTACAGCCAAGTCACTAAAGTGCTGGCTCTATACAGTGCTCGAATTTCAGGCAAGTCCCTTATTTGAGCAGTGTGAGATTTTTCAACCAACTTTTATCATAAAAGCCAGTCTGAAAATCATCAGCTGAACACTGACTGCAGCCAATGGCTTGAATAAATAAGGGAATCTTCCAGGCTGCTGGTCTATTGTATCCTGACAGCGGTGGGTGTTCTGCTTTCAGAATACAATAGCCCGGCAGGGGAGAATCCTCAATCCATGCTTAGTGTGGAGGGGGAAATCAAGCATTTTTCTTCCTTAGTGTGTATGGCCGGCATAAGTCAGCGCTGTCACTCTAGAAATGTCCAGACTGGGCTCATACTAGCAGGATCAGCAGAGGAAAACAGAAGGCTGCACAAATAAAAGGATATGCACACAAC